ATTCCTGCTTTCTACCTCTAATATAATTAGTGACAGACAGCTGGAGGCATCTCATTCTCCTGACAAAAATATGATCAGAATTGTTTTCAGTTGGTACATCTTTCCATCAAGCTGTTTGTTGCCTTCCATCAGAATAATCAGAGTTTCTGATTATCTGGTATGTTCCAAGAAAACAGGAATTGATTGTGCCCTTGCTTGTCTGATGGGGAGAAGGCTGCCAGAATTTACATAGTAACTCTTCAGTTGCCTAATGGAAAGAAAAACTAAGCTGTGTGTGTGAGTGTGTGTGTGTGTGTGTGTGTGTGTGAAAGAAAAACTAAGGGGTGTGTGTGTGTGTATGTGAAAGAAAAACTAAGGGGTGTGTGTGTGTGTGTGTGTGTGAGAGAGAGAGAGAGAGACAGAGGAAGAATCAACCAGTAGTTTCCATAATAATTCTCTTTGAACAACAATAAAGAAAATGTTTTCGTGGTGATTCAGATTTCAGATATGAGGAAGTAAAGTATTCTATTCCATTCATGGAAAACAACCAACGTTAATGGCTCTTTTCAAAAAGTTACAGTTATCTTACTACTTAAGTTTCAGGGTTATGTAAAAAGAATCAAGTTTAAACACTCGTGGAAACATCCAGGTACAATAAGACCTCATTATTTTGGACTATTTCAATTTGGAATTTACAGTCATTTGACAGGATCTAGACCAGAGGTGATCTTTTCACAGTGAAAAGTGGCTTGCTAAGCAAATTACTTTAAACAAGCAAGACTGCTGGGGGGAAAAAAATACAAATAAAAATATTTTTGTAAAGTATGAGGAACGAAAAATAACATGCTTCCCCTCCAACAAATACTTGTGATGAACCCAGTCAAATACCAATAACTGATAACAATAATAATTACTATTTAACTGAAGGTCAATCTTATATAGTCCACTTTACACACATGAGCTAGAAATATCCCAACAACTCTGCAAGATGGGTATAATCATCCCCGTATTAAAGAGAAGGAAACTGAGGCTCAGAGAGGCAGGTGACATGCAGAGACTGTACAGTTACTAGGCAGCAGAAGCAAGATTCAAAGCCAGGCTGTCTGGCTCAAAAGTCTGTGTCCTTCCACTCCCCACTCAACGCTGAGTGAGCACTGACGACTGCGAGCCAGACTTCCAGATTCACTGGACCAAGTTCTTCGACAACGGCAAAAATGGTTATCACTTCAAGGAGGGAAGGCCAAGTAGTCTGGCCCCAGAGCCCACCACTCTTAACCATAATTCCTTTCTACAACACAACGATCTCTATAAATAAAGACTTTTCTCCCCTGGAACTTTGAGGTATTTCGCATGCATGAAACTACAGAAATCCATAGAAACGTCGATGTAGGTGATGTACGTGGAGAGGGAACAGGTGGGTGGGGGAGGATTGCTTCCAGTCCTCTGCTCCTTGCCTCCATCCCCCATCCCCCATCCCCCACCCCATCATGAGCGACTTGTCTCTTCGGTCTGTACACCTATACAGGAGCACTGTGGTGCTAAAATCCTGAAAGGCTGACAGACTGTGACAAGACCTGTGGGAGTCAGCTGCAGGGGCAGGGGCAGCCAGCCATGTGGGCAGCAGGAGGATACAGAGAAGGGAGGGATCAGCTTTACTTACCTGGGAATCCACGGAGATATTCCTGACAGTGGTCAGAGTCTGGAGTGCTCTAGGAGAAAAAGAAATTTGGGAAGTCAGATCTCACATTTCAAAGCCACACCACTCATCTCCCTCACACCCACACCCAAGCACAGGCTCTGGAGTCAGGCAGACAAGGAATTGGGTTTTACCTGTGACTTAAAGCCTCATTTTACTCAACTGTAAAATGGGGGACAATATCAATAATAGTAGCTTCCTCACAGAGATGTTGGGAAGACTGGATAGCATATAATTTGTGCAATGAATGTGGCACACACAGTAGTGATATTTTAATAACAACAGCTAACATTTATTACTTTCTTACAAGGTGCTTGGCGTTGTTCTAGGGCCTCAATGCATTAACTCTTCGATACTCTGAGGTAGGCACTATTACCACTGGCATTTTGCAGATATAGAAAATGAGGCGCCAAAAGGTGAAAGCAGCTGTCTCATAAAAATGTACAAGGGGCTTCCCTGGTGGCGCAGTCATTGAGAATCTGCCTGCTAATGCAGGGGACATGGGTTCGAGCCCTGGTCTGGGAGGATCCCACATGCTGGGGAGCAACTAGGCCCATGAGCCACAACTACTGAGCCTGCGCGTCTGGAGCCTGTGCTCTGCAATAAAAGAGGCCGCGATAGTGAGAGGCCCGCGCACCGCGATGAAGGGTGGCCCCCAGTTGCCACAACTAGACAAAGCCCTCGCACAGAAACGAAGACCCAACACAGCAAAAGTAAATAAATTAATTAATAAACTCCTACCCCCAATATCTAAAAACAAACGAACAAACAAACAAAAAATATATATACATGGCAAGTGATGGAGCTGGGATTCTGTGACCATCTGAACACAGGGCCTAGACTGTAAACCACAGGGATATCCTGCCTAATTTATCACAAATAAATGTTAGTTACTGTTATTATCATTATTGTTTCTGTAATGATCTCCTTTCCAAAACATAGCCTGTAATATCCACACAAGCCCAGGGAACTCACCATTCAGCTAGTAACCACTTAGGCACAGAGACAGGTGCTGGGCTCCTAAGTCAACCAGGCAATCACTCACTAAGTCAACAATCTCTTCAAGCGTTCCCTGAGAACCCCTCTGCATCCGTTGCTCTGTTAAGCACCTCGTGGGGCTTCAAATGCTCTGGTCACTGATCCTGCAAAGTCAGCTCAACCTCCATGAAACAACCGGGGAACGAGGACAGGAGGGAGCACTGGGAAGGACGGGACAGGACCTCAGGATGCTGGATGCTGTGCCTGGCTTGGCGCCATCTCTCTAGGTGACCTTTTCCAAGTCAGCTGACCTCTCCGGTTTTCATCTTTAAGTGAGAGGACTGACCTAGAGGCCCTTAAGCCCTGAGATTCGAATCCACCATTCTATTCTGACTCTCTTGTAATCAGACTCCCTTTCCTCCGAACAGTCCATTTCTGCGAGAATATATTGTAACCCTTCATTTCTCTAACACACTGACTGAACACAATGCCAGGCACTGTGAATAGTGCCCAGGATTAAAACACAAGACAAAGCCTACACTTTGTAATGAGCTCTGAGAGTACAATGAAGTCTTACCACGGGAAATCTCGGCAGTCGGAAGACCAGGGAAGAGGGCAGCCCTTAGGACACCTGCGCGTGCCCGGTGGGCCCCCATCGGGGCTCTGGGTGTGGCCCCGAAGGACTCTACACCAATCTTAGGACCCAGGATCCCGGTGTCCCAGGTGCCCAGCAATCTGGGAAGGGGGTGCCATGCTAACCTTATAGGGCAGATAAGAATGTCTGTGAAAAATAAGGCACAAGCCAGACAACCAGGGAGATGCCTGAGCTGAGGGTTAGGTTTGTTTTCTGAAAGTAATAGTGTTGTGTGCAATAAACCAAAGAGATGAGAACTCTGCTGGCACTTAATTACTTGACTTTCTTCACTTTGATAAAGTATACCAATGGCCATTTTGATAGCGATCTTTTATGTATGTGTGTGTGAGTGCGCACGCGTGCCTGCTTCTTTGCAAAACATTTCGACAAAAGATGCTACCGACTTTATTTAAAGATCAGTTCATCACACTTAAGATATATTTGCTTTTACAGAAACTCGTTGGAGGGAAATAATTCAGTGAGTATAACACTTCCATTAAAAAGAAATTGATCTTAAAATGTGCTTTTCAGGGCTTCCCTGGTGGCGCAGTGGTTGAGAGTCCGCCTGCCGATGCAGGGGACACGGGTTCGTGCCCCTGTCCGGGAAGATCCCACATGCCACGGAGTAGCTGGGCCCGTGAGCCATGGCCGCTGAGCCTGCGCATCCGGAGCCTGTGCTCTGCAACAGGAGAGGCCACAACAGTGAGAGGCCCGCGTACCGCAAAAAAAAAAAAAAAAAAAAAAGTGCTTTTCAAACTTCGACAAAAACAATTCTTTGATTTTATGTACCACAAAAGGCAAACGTTGTTGCGTGGACAATGTAACAAATAACATGAGTTGTCAAATGAGACATTAAACATTTATTGATTTAATTTTTAATAAAGACTTTTAAACATAACCTAAAATGTCCATCAATCTTTGACATAGGAGGAAGAAGCATTTTGGTAAATTCCATCTCCTACCACGATTGAAGTCGCAGAAGATGTTTACGGTTCTTAGAGAGGGCAATGATGGTATTCTTTACAGGATGGTCAAATATTTGCAGCATATAACTTTAGAAGGCACAAAAAGGTAGAGCATAAAAATGTATTATTTTGACAGGTATTTAGGTAATGCATACACCCTCTTTGCTATGTCTCTACCCAAGTACCCAGTGCATGGGAGTCTGCAGAGAATTTAGTTCCTAAATTGGCTCCAAAAATGTTTTAAGCAGTGGCAACATTATTAGAGAACATGAATAAACTTCAAGGATGACAGCTCTGAGGAACAATACCCTCTTGGATATATAAATTATAGCTTTCTTAAGCCTAGAGAGAAAAATAAAATAAAATTTTAGTAGTGATCATCCCTGGGGTGAAGAATTATGAGCGATTTTTTCTTCTTTGTAATTTTGTCTGCTTTCCAAACTTCCTATAATGAGCACGTGTAACTTTAACAATTTGGAAAAAAAAATCTTTTTACACCCTCAAGATTCCTGATGTAAAAAGTGAAAAGGCTTTGGAACCAGACAAACTTGGGTTCAAATCCCTGCTTATAACCTTTCTAGCTTGGTGCCCTCAGAAAAGTTACTCAGCAGCCGAAGTTGAACATGAAATGGAAATAATAATACATGCTTAAAGCATCATTTTGACTGTTAGAGGTGAGATATTGTAAATGCTTAGCACAGAGTAGGAGCCCAATAAACGACAGTCGCTCTTCCATTTATAGTACACAGGCAAGAGAAGCTAGGCTCTTCTAATAACAGTAAATAAATTTGTTGGTGTTTATAAACTGATGTTTCAGGCCGTTTGTTTATGGAAACACTGAGTTTTTACTACATAATTTTCAGAAATTTTATAACAATTAACAGTTCAGAAAAAGAGTAAGTAAGAGGCTTCCACCTCACTCTCCCTTTCATCACATTGATTAGATTCCTACAGTCTGAGACTCTTGGGTTTACTGGTATTTGCCACTTTGCAGCTGTGTTCAGAAATCCTCTGGTTGGGATGGGAGTTGGGAGAATGGGTTACAGTGAACCCTTTAGAGAAAAGAGAAAGAAACCACAGCTACCACAATCAAGATCTTTTCCATACTGTCATTCCTTATGATGAAAGTGAGCAAAGTAAACTATGGGATTGCTTAAATGAAGGGCGAGGGACTAGATCAGAGATTCTCTGGCTTTTCTTTTTTTTTTAATGGTAGTTACGTTGGTATTTTCATCCTATTCATGTGAAAGTAGTTCAGTCAAGTAGGTTTATGATAAAATACATGTACCTCACAAAATATGGCTGGTGGGTGTATGTTGCCCTTGGTTATATGTTGCTGCACCTGACTACAGCAATAAATATTGATTTAACTGGCTTTAATATCAAGTCAAGTATTTGTTGACACATGGAAATGAAGGAAAAGCTTGATATATAGGTCAAATCCCATTTCAACTCACTCCAAGGGACTGTCCAAAGTCTTCTGCTGCCCTAAAATTGTGTTCTAAATGATGCTTGTCCCAGTCATAGATAACAGGACTTCTCATTACAATGGGATTTGCTACATAAATGAATACTGGTATAGATTTTTAGGCAGTACAATTTATTGTAGAAAGTACAGCTCAAAAAAAAAAAAAATCATGACATACTTAACCTCTCCCTCTCTCTCACCCCCTGGAGGCATATTTTGCTTTCTACCTGAGGTGTGAACTGTTCTCTCCTTTTCAATGTTTGATTGCTTTTTGTTCCTCTCACTTTGCCTAGTACAGAGCTGATGCTCAAAACATAGCTGATGAAGAAATGAGCTGAATGAAATGCGGTACCAAAGCAAATAAGAAATTCAGAATAGTTTCCTGCATAGAAGGAGAAACAAAATTTAGAAATTGATTCAAGATGAGTATAGCAAGCAGGGTTAGCATTCCCAGCTAGCGGGCTCAAGGAGTCTGGGGCTCCATGGGCCCTCTGTTGGCTCCCTACTGCTAAGTGTTCATGGGGGTTTGTATAAAACATCCAGCACTTGGTTGACCCACACCCCGCCAATCTCCGAGGAATGCCACGGAGACATTTCAGTCATTAAGTACCTGAAGCACCTTCATAAGGGTCCTATACAGTGAGCCCAGGCTGGGGTGGCCAATGAACAAATCCTGTCCTTTTAAAGGACAGAGAGAAAGGGCCACCACGACCACCTGGGAGGCAAGGAAGGGAAGGCAGGTTAGCCGGCAGCAGTCCCAGGGGAAAGGGAATGAGCGCAGCCCCTGGGGTGGGATTGACTCTCTGGCAGCCAGACTCAAAGGCAGTTTCTGAGCCCTTGCCTACATTACCAGGGCTGGGGGGAAACCACAGGAGACTTCAGAAAAGTATGCGTGATGTCCAGTGTCAAAATTCCTAACTTCTCTTTCATTCTCCCCTTTGGCAAAATGATTGCTTTAATAATCAAAG